AAATTAGCTCAGTATGTCTTCTACTGAATTCCATCTGTAGCTCAATGTTTTAATGAATTTATGGACAAGGCTACAGAGCAATTTTGATAAGACAAGGCAATGTTCCAGTCTCTGAGACTATTTTTCCCAAGAAAAAAAACATTTTTGAAAATACCACTGAACAGCCTGTAAATCCACCCACACATGAGCAATCTCTTGCACTATACAGAAAGCTTTTCAGGTGTCACAGCCATAATAGCAGGTGGTTCCTTTGGGTAGAAAAATTATGGCAAGGATATAGAGACAGAAAGCAAACTGTTTTGATATTCTGGGTACAGCTTTCCCCAAGTGAATCATTCCCATATGCATACTCTTACCATGGGCCCTTTTCCAGAGGAAGTGGGTTGTGTGAATGGAGGTGTAGACATGCATTCTGGTGGGCAAACTTTGATGGTGCCCATATTTGGCAGATCCAATTAATCTTTAGCTATTTGTCAACCCACTTTCCCACAAGTTTCAAAAAGCAAAACTTGACTATGGATCTGATATCTGTTTTTGCTCCTCTCATAATAAATACTTAATCTTGTTATGAAGATTCAGCTGTGCTCATTTGAGGCAAGACTGCTTCCGAAATTCCACATAAGTAGATTTTAAACACAAGCTATAAGGAAGGCTGAGACTAGAGCCATTTGCAAAAGGTGGACATTTAATTCCCTTTTTTTATTATAAAATATCTGAGATACACACAAAGTTTGAAGAACACATATTTACTCTTTTTTCTAATTGAAGTCTAGTCAGTTTACAATGTTGTGTCAATTTCCATTCTACAGCATAATGTTTCAGTCATACATATACAGGTATTTACTCTTTAGTGAACTTTTGTTGCTTGTAAGGTAAAAATCTGGGTGAGTAAAAATGATTTTGTTTCCAGACAGAGATATAGCAAAGCTGGAAATGAAGAGTTTTTGTAGTTTTTTTCTTTTTGCCTTTCTCCAGAGTGTGTGAGAATTGCATTCTCATCCATATACCAGTACAGAAAGTCTCCCTACTGAAAAGGGAGATGCTGTTGTAACCCTCTTAATTTTTATTTGGAGGGAGGTAACTAGGTTTTTATTTAATTATCTTTAATGGAGGTACTGGGGATTGAACCCAGGACCTTGTGCATGCTAATCACATGCTTTACCACTGAGCTAAACCCTCCATCCATCACCCTCTTAATTTAAAATAAAACTCAACCAAGGGAAAGATGTGTTCAAGAAGACAGCTCATGGAAAACTTGACTTTATTTGGATAGCAAAAAATGAAAATGAAAGATGGTCACTAGGCTAATTAATTCTGGCTTTTCCCAAATCTTAAAGTGGTGCGACGTTGGGCAAGTTCTTTCATCCCTCTACACTTCACTTTCCTGAACTGTGTAGTGAGGATAATTGGATCTACCTACTTGGAGTTGTTGCACGTAATCTTAAAACAGTGCCTGGCATACAGTAGACGCTCAATAGATGTTAGTTCACTTTCTTCTTTCTCCTCAACAAAGTGTTAGCTCCACCGGAGAATGGAGACTTTGCTTGATTTAGTTCTGAATCCTTAGCTTCTATTTTGCCCATAGTAGGCATTATTGAATGGAGTAATGAATGAAAGTGGCTAGGTTTTGAGGCTTAGTGAGAGAGAATTTGTTCTATGTTTTTTTTTAATTCTTATTTTTTATTGAAGTGCAGAATTCTACGTTTTCTAGCCAGTGAGGGAAATACAGACCTCTGGTTGAAGGTAGGTTAGGGAAGTGAGAAAGAACCCTAAATTAAGATGAGAAGACCAAAATTCAGGCTTAAATTCTTCTAAGTCTTTGGTGTTGAGACTAAGGGTTTCTTTCATGATTTGTAAAATATAACTCCCAAGGTTATTCTGAGGATTAAATTAAAGTGTATGTGAAAGATCACAATAAACTATAAAGGGATATACAAACACATGATATTATTAATTTTTATCCCAGGAAGTTTATCCATTGGATGACAGTCAAATGATGCTATGAGAGTCTTGGAAGAAAGAAGCTTTAGCTAAAGATTTAAGTACTAAAAATATTCAACCCCAGAGGTACCACAGACATAGACTAATTTTTTCCATCTGTGCAGTTTAGGGTAGATTTGGCATACACTCAATACCAGGCAAGAAAGAAACTATGGTTTAGGCTGCATTTAAAGTTTAAAAAAAAAAGGCAGAAAAAGAAAGTACTTCCTTTTATAAGCATGAACGTTAGAATAGGGAAAGCCTTCATCGAGTAATCCATCCCCGAGGCAAGACTATTCAATCCACATCCTCTCCTACCTTTCCCACGCCCCATTTTTGTTCTAATTAGCTAGTTGTATTGTATATCATGATTTATGTATTATGGTCACTTTCTCCTCACCAAAGAAAAGTAATATAGATTATTCTTTATCAGTCATACGTGATTTAGAGGTCAAAAGAGCTGCTTTTTGTAGGGTAACCTTCCTGGATTAACAGTATTTAAAGACCTGGTTTTCCAGAAACAGACTTGCAGACATAGTAAACAATTACGGTTCTGGGGGAAACGGGATGGGAAGGGATACATTTGGGAGTTTGAGATTTGCAAATGTTAACCACTACATATAAAAATAGATTAAAAAAACAAATTTCTTCTGTATAGCACAGGGAACTATATTTAATATCTTGTAATAACCTTTAATGAAAAAGAATATGAAAACAAATATATGTGTATGTATGCATGACTGGGACATTGTGCTGTACACCAGAAATCAATACATTATAGCTGACTATACTTTAATTTAAAAATGAAACAAAATTTTAAAGCAGATAAATAAGTATATAGACCTAGTTTTCAGTGCCAGAGATTATTCAAAATATCATGGCTTTACGATTATGCCCCACCCAAGATGTCTCAACAGAGCCCGATTTTGAGATTGAGAAACTGACTTGGGGAAGAAGATAAAGGAGCCAAAAAAAAAAAAAAGGAAAACCATAGTGGGTGAGCTGATGACTCACTGCCCCTTCCTTGAACTTCAGGAATGACAAGACGGATGAGGGGGAAAAAGGCAGTGCCCCACTGCAGACCAGATGTTCTAAGAAAGACAAGAAATTCAGGAAACTTAAAGACCTCTGTATGTTCTTAGGGTAAAGGCAATGAATGTAATTTCCATGGTCAAGTTGTTAAGTGCATCAAAGAAAGGACACTTGGAACACTAAACCTGATTATATTTTCCCATCAGTGCTATCATCCTAAATTTGATCATTTTATTCTCCTGATTAAAAACCTCGACAACTCTGCGTTGCTACTGGATCAAGTCTAAACTTATGATGGCATGGAATAGTCTTCACATGATCCCAACCTTCCTCGTTACCTTTGTCTTCTAGTTAATTATTATCGCATATCTTGGAAGGTATAGGGGATCGCTTATGATTTACCAAATAAACCAGATACTTTTTAAACTTGGTCCATTTTTTTACACAATTATCTCTGCCCACAACTCTCGTTCCCAGCTGGCGAACTCCTAACAGTGCTTCAAAGCTTGGCTCTAGTATGACTTCTTCTCTGTAGCTTTCTCAACTCCCACTCTCTCCTACTACTCAGAATGATTGTTCTTCCATCTATAAAGTCATTGAACTTTAAGCATTCCATGTGTTAAACAGACTCATAAGGTTCTATCCTCTCCCAAACTTACTGCAGACTCCATGAGGGCAAGTGTCAGCCTGTTATTGTGCAATTTTGGGCACACCAGAGGAGCATACTACAGGTTTTTTGAATTGAGTCAAATATTAGAAGGGGGCCAAAGCATAAATAGATTTTCTAGGCCTGGGAATTATGTTAGGACTGGAAAGTATATGCTAAATCCACATACATGACTCTGCTCTTAGACTTAACCAGAGAGCAAGCAATTTACTTTTATGAAAAAACAATGTCATGAATGTATGTCTCTAGATAAAACATCATTAATTCATTTTTGACTTAGAACTGCCCTCCCCATAACCCAGTTAGCAAAAAGGTAGCTGAGTAATTTGAAATACTCTCCAGCTGGAGTGGAATCACCTTTGGGGCTTGCTTCAATCCGAGCATCTCTGTCTTGTTTTGCTCTTCAAAGAGACTCTCAGTCAACCATAGCCTTTGAAGGCACGAGGAGAACGAAAACCAGACGAACGCTGTTGAACTCTTAGCTTGCCACTTTCTCTAACCTGGCATTAAACTTTTCTGCTCCAATTCAACAAGTTAGCTAAAGAAGTACATAAAGTAGCATCAATTTATTTTTTATCTTGTTCATTATGCTGCCTTGTTCCAGAGACTTTAAGAGAGGTTAAAGAAAGAAACCCAAATCCAAAACCAAATTGTTCCACACTCATCCCTTTGGTTCTTTTGGTGACCTGCTGTCAGTGCTGAAGGTCAGGGTGGAATACTTTTGGAAAAGTTTGCCACTACTCGTAACAACATTTCTGGTTAATTTTTATCTTTTATTTTGATTTACAGCAAGTGATTCTGTCAATGCCCACAGGTCATTTTTATCCTAAGACCCAGTGTGAGTTTGATCAACCTTGACATCAGTCATTGAGACCCTCACCTGGGGTACATAACAAGTTATCCTGGCTGAATAAAATCATAGCTGGTTCATGTCTGAAGGTGCTTAGGGGGTACGGCATGAAGATTAAGAGCAGGAGCTTTGGAGTCAGTCTGTGTCTGTCTGAGTTTGAATCTGGCCACACCTCTGACTGGTTATGTGACCTCAGACAAGCTACTTAACCTCCATGTGTCACCTGCCTCATCAGTAAAAACGAAATAATAATTGTTCCCACCTCTCATGGGTTCCTTGTGTGGAATAAGTGAATTAAATGTGTAAAGCATTTAGAACAATGTACACCGTAGGTATACTGTTAATAAATATTAGCTCTTATATTCTGTACTTTTAGGTGTTTAGGTAAGAAAAAATGGGTACAATAAATATTTTTCTCTATATTTTTAGGTAAGAAAAGTGAATATAATAAAAAAAAACTGAAAGGAAGACTGTGTTTAGAACAAAACTTTATTTACAAAACCGCAACTTGGTCTGTGTTGGTATCACTATTGACTAAATGCCTACAACTGAGATATTAGTTAAGGCAATACATTGATTTTAGCTATACACACAACAAGAACTCAACATTATCCCGGTTTCCTATTCCTGTGTGGCTCTCAATGCAGCTAAACAAAACAAAACAAAACAAAACAAAACAAACAAAACAAACAAAACAAAACAAACCCTCTTTGTAATGTACAATGGCTTAAGCAAACCACTTCTTTAATTTTTTTCTATTTAAGGGTTGGGACTGAGACTACTCATCCAAAATTTGCTATTTACAGAGAAAGCCCCAGAGGATGGGATAACTTAGAGATGGAGGCTTAGTTTATCTGGCTTTCATAACACAATATATACATATGACTTTAGGAGAATGTAAATAAATAATATTGGTAAACAGTATACGTTGATAATCTTCTGACAAATTCATTTATCTAACATTATGCTGAGGACTCAAGAGGAATTTCTCCATACATTTTAAAATTTTAATTTATTCTGTTTGCTGATTTACAAAGTCTTGCTCTATATTAATATAGTCATCACCAATATAACATATGATAACCATTACCTATGGAAACCTAACAGTCTGTTTTTTAAAAAATTCCCTATTAAGCTTTAATTCTCAGCTGACCGTCACACACATATATGCATGGATATATGTGTGGGTACCAACTGCCCCTTATTCAGGACTGTAAGATTAATGGCATCTGGCATCTAGTTGTAAGAAAAAAATCTCCCTAATTGGGAGATAGCTGAGTCACATGTAAAAGAATCTACTATCTTCTACTATCTGAATTTAAGAATATACCTATGCCAGGCAGAGGGAAGAGGAAAGGAGGGTAGAAGTAGAAGAAAAGAACTACATTGGTTCAAATTAAACTCAGCTAATTAATTTGAGACAGCAAATAAATAAATCAACAAATGCCCCATTTTTGTTTTCCATAAAAAGAAATCACTGGCAAATCCTTACTAACAATTAAAAAATTGATCCATGAATATATAATTTAAATAGGAAAAAGTTTAAACATTTCATATGCATATATCATAATTCTGTTCATCTAATACACTCCTCGGCTGAGGTCTCTAACGTGTCTTCTTCTGTACTCTCTTCTATTTCTGGCAAGTTGCCCCAAAGTAGGAAGTTTACACCTGAAAACAAAAGATCATAAAATTGTTTGGTGCTGACTACTGTTACAACTCAGAACATGATATCTAAAACCTTATATGTTAACATTCTTATATTAAA